AAGTGAACCTATCATGCTATATTTGAATAATATAGTGTAGGACCATACCTATATAAGGCATATTTATTTTTATTTTTCAAAATACCAAACAAATCATGCATTTTAGCCATTCCTCATTTCGCTCAATTTAACACTGTCTTTTCATGGGCTGATTCTGTGAGAACAGCACCATCTACAGGCCTGGCATATGTACTACAGCGTCTCCAGCGCTTTCGAACGGCAAAGTCCGTGGCTGTCTCCTGATTGGTGGAGTTGGCCCAATAGCCGTAGCGCCACTTCTGTGACGTCATAGAAGTGTTCAAATCTGGATCAGTCTGTATCCGATCCGTTGCAGCCCCTTTTTAAGAGATTTGGGTATGGAGGAAAAGAGAGAGGGTTGTGTTTTCTGACACTTGGTGAGTTCTCTGGAACACCGGGGACACATATTCATGTATAAAAGACGTACAAAAGTTCATTTTGCATGATAGGTCACCTTTAAGTTTCTATTAAAAAAATTACCAGACTCCACCCTGTTTTCATTCATTCAATTATTTTGTTCTCACAATGTGACTTATTGCATTTAAATGGTCATTTAAAACTGCAACTACTTTGTACACTTGTATAATGTATTTAGAATCCTATGTTTATATTTTGTTAGTGGAAGGTTGGTGTATTATAGTGAATAGCAAATGACTGTATATTGTATATTTATATTTATTTGATCTAAATTCTCTATAGATATCTATCTTCTACTGATGACATGTATATGTTACCTGTTTATTTAAGCTGCTGTAACAAAACATTTTCAAAATGAGGAATAATTAATCTAATCTAATCTAATATGAAGACATCCTTTGGTTGCCCTCCTGTCTGAAGCTCCTGGGCTTAAAGGGGCTCCATTCATTCCATGATTGTAATAAAACACTGGTGACATTTAAACTCAATAGATTTTTTTAAACAAACATCAGTATTAATATCATCCCTGAAGATGATAATGATATTTCTGTGTGTCATTGATCTGCAGCTCACCTCAGCACAGAGGTGGAAGTAGCAGAGCAGGATGGTGGCCTCAGAGCAGGTGATGACCAGGATGATGAAGACGAGGAAGAGGAAGCCGAACATGTAGTACATCTGATGGGACCTGCAGGACAACGCAGATTACTACAGTCAGTACAAACCAGTAAACACATCACTGCATGGTATCGTCACTGTGCTGCCTTTGTGGTTTCAGATCATTGTCTTGAGGCCTTTCCTCTGTGGTGGGTTCACTATGACATGGATCAAAAGTCCCCTGCCTCCTATCAGAAATATTTTAGAGGGTTTACATATACTGTCAGAGTTGAATGAGAAGCCAGGTCATTTCCAGTAATGGAGACAGTTCCACTGATAAAACATATTTCATTACAATGTAGTTCAAAACGAATAAATAAATGTCCCATTACATCATAGAAAACGAGTATGGGCAAAGTTTGTTTAAAGACACATGTAACAATGTGTGTATTCTTGATCCTATTCTGTTATATTTGTCATACTCATTCTAAATATTCAAGATGAGAAAAAGCTTGTGCAGTTGCATAATCTTGCTTCCTACTTTTTATATGAAGAATGTTTTTTTATTATTACATGTGAATGTATTGAGGCTTCAGATTGTGAGTCACCCTTTACAGACTCCCCACAGCTCCGAATAGAGTGAACAGTAAGCCACATACTTAAAGTGGACCTATTATGCCAAATCCTGGATCTGCTCATTTGCACTCCCGTTTTTTTTTTTTTTTTTAGAGATGTGGGTAAGGAGGAAAAGACAGAGGGTTCTATTTTCTGAAACTTTGTGAGTCTCCTTACACACCGGGGACACATATTTATGTATAAAAGACATCAAAAAGTGCATTTTGCATAATAGGTCCCCTTTAAATATACATATACACAATTGAGTATCAAAAACGACCCCTCAAGATGTATTCCATGCCAGAAGACTTTTCCTTCATTCTCACCATATGGAGTTTAGTATGAAGAAGAGCTGAATAAATATACATCCAAAAGGCAGGATGCCCCCCATGATGATACCAGGGAGAGGCTTCGTGTAGAAGGACTGCTCTGGGACCTGACGAGGAATCTGATTGGTCCGCACGGGGTGTTCAATACCCTGAATACACCAGTCACAAGAGAGAGAATCAAACATTCAGATAGGTGCAGTATATATTTTTTAAAGGGACCATATACAAACATTGAAGTGGCTAGTAATGTTTGCAGATTGTAAATACATTTAAAAAAACACAAATTGAACAAGGGTATATTGCACAACGTTTTATATTAATAGGCATATGGGTTATTTCCCATCAGGCATATTACAGTCTGTGTGTGTGGTGTTCTACCAGGGGCTGTTGTGGGTATACAGTATGACCGCAATTAGAAAAATGTATCAGGAATGATTGGATGTTCACTTACTGCCTTCTTGAAGCCAAAGTATGCGCCTAGAAATGTGAGTGGCACTGAGATACAGAACCAAAGAGCCAATATGGCTACCAGGGTCCCAAATGGCATGGCTGCTGAAGACCCTTCCCCCCAAAGGATCAGGTTCATTACAAAGAAATCTGCAAACACCACCCTGCAGAGATGGGGGGGGGGAGACGGGGGGGGGAGATATTTATGATTAATGAAGGACAGGATCAGGTGCTGAGTCTTTTCTTTTCTCATGTGTGCTGTCTCACCCAGGGCAGAGGAAGGCTGTCAGCAGGACGTTGGTCTTCCACTTCTCTCCTCCAAAAGCTGACAAGGCAAATGAAAAAAGCACGTTGACCGAATATAAATAAAAAAAGGAAAAAGATTGAAGACATTAACCCAACTGTATTATGAAATGGTCAATAACTGCAGCCCTACATGGGATTTCTTTCTCCTGAAACACTTCCTCAGGGTTCCTGCAGGTTTCGCCAACTCTAATTTAAGACTTTTTAAGACCTTTTTAAGACCACTTTGAATAGAATTTAAGACCTATTTCACAGCAATAAAGTATGAAGGAAAATTGCTATGAAAGAAGAAATACGTCCCATAATTACTTACAAAGTAAATGTATTCATGTTCAACATAAGAACAATGACTGAACATAACAGCATAACAGTACACAGAACTGTGTTAGCGTGTTAGACAACAAGTGTGTAGACCTATGTGTGTGTGTGTTAGGGCTCTGCAATTAATCGTATTTTAATCGCAATTACGATTTTGGCCTGCCACAATTACGAAAACAACATAATGGAAAAAAACGATTATTTAGCTTTGCGAGGTTGTGACAGTGCACTACAACATATTTGATCTAATTAATTTTAGTCTAATTTATTTATCATATTTATATATGTTTAGTAGCTTGTGGAAGTGCGCTCCAAAATATTTGTTGATCTTGTTTATTGGTATTTATTATTTTGATATTATTTATTTAAATGTATCATTTATTTTTGTATAGTGGTTTTTCCGTTTAATTATACGTTCAGGGT